TATATATATATATATATATATATATGTATGTATATATATATACATATATATGGTCATTCACAGCCAGTCATTTCGTCAGTCTGGCTAGGCTGCGTAGTTTTTGAAAACAAAATTACTGTTTTCATCTGAAAATTATATATATATATATATATATATATATATATATATATATATATATATATATATATGAAATGAACAAAAAGTCCGACAATTATTTAAGACATTTTTTATGTATATACATTCTTTTTATAGATACAAATATTTAAGTAAATGCTCTGTTTATAATAAACATTATTAACAACATTTTCCGGCCGGCCTGAATGTCCAAGAAATTTTCATATAAATGCGAAGGACGGATCTCTTTTATATATATATATATATATATATATATATATATATATATATATATATATATGTGTGTGTGTGTGTGTGTGTGTGTGTATATATATATATATATATATATATAAATGTATGATGGCGTAGGTTTGTGTGTGTGTGTGTGTTTTGATAATCCTGTTATGACACATTTCTTCCGCCGTCTTGTATCTGCGTCACTCGAAGCGTCACCACCGGGCAGCACTGACGGACAAGGGTTTGTCCTACTTAGTGAGAACTGTTGTAATGGAGATGATATCCGCTTCCTTTCCTCTCTTCGCGTCACGTTAAATCAATATCTCACTCACTAAACGGACTGTAGTTTTTTCTCTTAATCCCCCTTTCCTCGGCGCGGAACAAAGTTGTGTTGATGGCTTTCTTTTTGTTTCTCAAAGCTTGCACTCACCAAGTTGGGTTGACTCTTTGTATTTCTCTTTCTACCAAGTAAGTTCGGCCCAAATCATGTTGCGTACGTTAATGTGCGAAACGTAAAGAACGAATTCTTGGATAGTTTTCACTGGTAAACTTCTTTCTTTTTTTCTTTTCTTTTCTTTTCATTTTATTTTTTCTTTCTTATACAACTTTGTGGGAGGTCTTTCACTTTTGAAATTCCAAAAGAAAGGAAAGTGGTTTCTGTCGTGTAAAAAGAAGATACCGCTTTTACGTCAACATTTCTTCGAGTCATGTCTATGCCATTTTCTATGTTGCTTTTTTTTTCTGACACTTATTTCAGTTTGGTCAAATCTGCAAAATCATGCAGAGATGAGTGAAGATACCGTCCTCATATGAAGACTGAATGAATTCTGCTAATATATTATGAATTTAAATGATAGCAAGAATCACTGAAAACCGTCGTTTCAAAAGTGGCGTTATCAGGGGTCCCCTATCAACACCATCTTATCCCTCAGCTATGGGTAAAATAGTAGAATGTTTATCTGTAATAAATCGTTGAAATTCTCAAAATCTTTTAATGCAATGTTCACTTGCAAAAAGAAGGAATTATTCTTTTAAAATTTAAAACATAATTCGGTTTTAAATAACTCACAAATGTTGATAAGACGTAAAAAATAAATAATGAAAAATACACTACCCTTTTTTATTAAACCAGTCAAGAGATATTCGTCTTGTTATAACTCCAAACATATGCCAATTCCTGAAACGCTAAATCAAATTTGAATAAGTGAATCATGTTGATCCTATCTATTTATATCTCTGAGATGAGGTATGTTGATTACTTGCATTATTTACATTATTTGGACTATTATCTTCATCTTCATTGTCATATTCACAACGTTTCGGTCTTTGTACACTCCGGCCTTCTTCAGGATATGTCTATATCTCTGAGATGAGTTATGTTGATTACTTGCATTATTTACATTATTCGGATTGTTATTTTCATCTTCATTGCCATATTCACAATGTTTCGGCCGTTATACTCTCCTGACTTCTTCAGGATATGTCTATATATATAAGATCAGATGTGTTGATTATTTGCATTATTTAAATAATTCGGACTATTTATTTTTATCTTCATTGCCACATTGAAAACGTTTCGGCCGTTGTAATTTCCTGACTTATTCAGGATATGTCTATATCCCTGAGATGAAATATGTTGATTACTTCCATTATTTACATTATTCGGACTATTATCTTCATCTTCATTGCCATATTCACAACGTTTCGGTCTTTGTACGCTCCGGCCTTCTTCAGGATATGTCTATATCTCTGAAATGTGGTATTATGATTACTTTCATTATTTACAATATTCGAGTGTTATTCTCATCTTCATTGCCATATTCACAACTTTTCGTCTGTTGTACACTCCGGCCATCTTCAGGATCTGTCTATGTTTCTGAGATGGGGTATTAAAATTACTTGCATTATTTACATTATTCGGACAGTTATCCACATCGTCACAGCCATATTCACAACGTTTCGGTCGTTGAACGCTCTGGCCTTCTTCAGGTGATTGGAAATTGGATCCGAACCCTATATTTCGTCCACCAAGGTAGATTGTTCTAGTTCAACCTGCCATGCCTCTTCCGGATGTCTCAGTTATATCCGTTTAACTAAACTCTCCAAGATATTTTGGATTGGTATTGAAATCACAACTATTTCCCATTGTGTTACCTCTTTACGATGTTCTTGTATTCTTAACTTAAGGAGGCGATCTGTTTCAACTTCGCATTTCTTACCACAGCTGCACGGGATGGCGTACACACAGTTCATAGTCATGTTCTCCTCTACGGATGGGTCTTACTCGGAAGAGGTGTCATTGATCCTCATGTTCACATAACTTGAATTTTATTTTTTTAATTCAGTCGACGAACACCCCGTATTCCTTTTGTAAGAAGTTCTATTCAAACATTGTTTTCGCCAGAAATGCTACTTTGTGTAAGAGACCTCCGCGGGGATACTTCCCTAAAAATAACATGTTCATCTCAAGGGGAAATCTTTATATATCCTCCTTATCGTCATATTCCTCACTTCCAAACATCTCCTGATTTATTTATATTACACATTTCATCTTTTTATATCATTAATGTTCAGCAAATACAAGACCGAAGAGCCATTCAAGGTAGCAGATTACTAAACGTTTATATATACTACAGTTCAAAAGTTTGAAGCCACCACGAGAATTATCATGGGATGGACTTGGCAGAAGAGGGGAAAAAATGATAAAAGAGATCGTTGTGTCATTGGAAAAAGAATGGAATCAATTATCAAATTTATAAATTGAAAATACTTTTTCAACGAAAGAAGCCTTCCAAAATCTAAGCAAATAATTAAGAAAGAGAAAAATACCGTTAGAAACAAAGAAAAGAGTACTAAACTGTCCTCCTATATGGCAGTGAATGTTGAACAATCAGCAAAAATATGGTGAAATCTGTTTTCCTATATGCTCGACAATCTCCTCATACATGAATAGACTTTAATCAACAAAAATGTGGTTCTACAGAAGGATGCTAAGAATGCCATAGATCGAACGTGATCATCGACGAAGTTTTGGAGAAAATGGAAACAAAATGGACAGGGAGAGAAACTTGAAATTTATACGTCACATAATGAGGAAAGAGAGTTTGGAAAATTGATACTCACAGGGCAGATTGAAGACAGGAGATACAGAGGAAAACAACGCTTAGCCTACGTAGTGCGCTAGAATATTCAAAATGGCTGATCTTGAATTTCTTCATAGCAATGTGAAAATACATGAAAGGGACATGGAAGCTATTTGAACTACGGAACAAATTACACAAGATGATTTCTTATTGCATTTCATAGCATAAAGTTTTGCTTAACTAAATTACTGTTTTAATTGTTATTTCACACTGACTGTGTAAAACTCTTGAAAGATAATCTGTTGCATATGAATTACTATTACTCGAAAATAGAAAACTTATTTAATTTAGTACCGTGGATTCCAGAACTCCTAGTTTGGTTATTATCCAAACTCATGTTTAGGAAACCTGAGCCCTTTTCCTTCTCGCATTTTCATTTTTTTTTTGGCGGGGGGTTGACGATCCAGCCATCATAATACCTATGCAGTTCTAACTAGTCCCCAGATGTACAATTTGTCTTGTGTCGGAGGAATAGAAATGACATTTTTTAAAGTGAAAAAGTGGAGAGTTTATTAAAACAATTACCTTGAAAATATGCATAGAAGCTGTATTACAACGGCGGGAAAATGAGTAAAACTGAAATACCAGGCCAGAACCCAAAATATTGCAGATTATTCTTTGTATTTTATCAAAAATCTCTAAAATTTTGTCTCTCCACGACGTCCTTTCTTGCTTGAAATAATCTTTAAGTGTTTACCCTCGTTCACTCTCATTGTTTCAATATTTATTCGATCAAAATTGTCATGTATGTTACTCAATGTTTCCTTTGGCTTCTCTTGCCTGAAATGTATCATCATAAATTTTTCCATGCTCCCGCTTTTTTTAGCTATTGCAAAAATCTCTTTCACATTATTAGTGTCATTTCCTTCTCTGTTTTCCCCGCCCGATCGAGACTTTCATATGGATGTCAGCCATGGAGTCAAGTTCGTTGACTCTCACCTTTATAAAACTGATTTCTCAGATCAAAAATTAAAAACGGTTTCCCGCGAAAGAAACCCCCATATTCCAGCTATGAACATCCATCTTCGAACCTCTTAGTTTGGCGCTACAGAATCAAAAACCAAGAAATGTACCAAATAAGACAAACATCATTTCTTGAAAACTTCCAACAGCTGTGACACCTAAAACGGATCGCACATGGAACTTGAAGAGAAAATGAAAGAATCAAGATGTTGACGTTCCCAACTACTTGAAGCAAATGTGGCTTACGGCCATATCACGTTGAAATACCGCTTCCCATACAATCACCGAATTTAAGCGTCGTCAAACCTGGTCAGTACTTAGATGGGTAACCCCTGTTTTTATATTTTTACAGTATAACGTTATTTTAGTTGATAAACGTGTTTGAGAGAGAGAGAGAGAGAGAGAGAGAGAGAGAGGCGAAGAGAGAAAGGGAGAGAGATAGAGTGAGAGAGGGAGAGAGAGAGCTGAATGCCACCATACAAGGTTGATTCCCGTGTCTATATCTATAAAATCTATGTCTCCGATATGGAGGCTTACGACCTCATCACATTGATGAAACACCTGTTCTCGTACGATCACCGAAGTTAAGTAACGTCAAGTCTGGTCAATACCTTGATGGGTGACTGCTTTGGTATTCCAGGTACTGTAACCTCAGATGTGTTTGTGGTGTGCTGAATAATGACTCGGAATTGTTAATAGGAGGGGGGAGTTCCATTTCCAGCTGGGTTTGTTATGTTATACGCCAAATATCCGTTGGAAAGGTATGAAGCCAGCTCTTCTGCCCCGAGCTATGGGTTAATAAGCATGACATGTATCACTAAGCAAATGCTGCTAAACAAAAACAACCCACCAAAGATCAAACAACCCTTTACGAAGGAAACTTCCATAAAGAACGATTGTATAAACATATTTTCTTGAAGAATTCTTTTAATTGAAATACTTCTTTCTTTTTCTTTTTTTTAACTTTCTACCTACAATAGCAATGGCTGTTCGGTCGGATTTTTCCTTATAAGGAAAGAGCTAATATTGACATTATCGTTCTATGTAGTCTGTAGTTTTCTTGGAACGTCCTTGTTATTCGCATGTTCTGTTCAGAATTCGTCCGAAGAAGTACATTAGTATATGTCTCTTGAAGCCTGTTCTTCATCTGTGTACCAATGTTACACAAAAGAAGAAAACTATCGAAGTACTTCTGTCTTATTATTATGTCTTTCCATGCGAACTAATGTACGTATCTTGGGTGCTACACTGACAACGTTTCGGCCGCTTAACTCTCCGGACTTCTTCATGTGTCTGGCGTTATACTCCATCATCATCATCATCATCATCATCAGTTCTATGAGCAAGAGTGGTGGCAGTGCTGTTACGCAGCTGAGCACATTATTTTATTTTTACAAAAATGTCCATCCTGTACAAGGCAAAAGAGCAACTAGAGTTACATAGAGTATAAAACCTAAGAGGCACAATATGTTACAGTTTTTTGTATATATATATGTAACTAGTGAGTTAGTCAAAATGACTTAATTCCCTTTATAGTCTACCAATAGAAGATTAACCAATCAGAAGCCAGGGAACATTGTATCCGGCGTGTACAAAGGCGGCCATTTTTGTTTATCCTACCGGAATGACCAAAGCCAACTTGTCAGGCGAACATGACAGACGGAAGAACTACGCTCTGCTACTTTGCTGCGATATCCACTGCGAACCTGAACAACGCTTTCCTATTGTCTGCGAAATATTCACTGCCAACCTCTGGATTCTATACTCGAAAACGACCGTCATGAATTTGTAACACAATAAAAAACTGCATTTATTATCATTTAAAAGAGTGCGTACATTTTAGAATACCCTGTGTATAATTTTTATAATGATATTCACTTTAAACAAGGCTCAAGAGCCACTAGAGGTAGAGGGTTGAAGAATAAAGACAGAGTTTATGCGGATATGTGTGGAAGATAACGGTTAACCCTAGACTTGAACAGGTTAAAATTGTATTAATCGGGGAAGCATCCTCTTGGGAGTCGATTCCACAAAGTAGGTGTTCGTGGGAAAAATCTGTTCGAGTGCCACTTCCATCTCATCAATGAAATATGAAGGGAATGGGGGTGGCTACACTACAATGTACATTACATCGCTGGTCTCTGCCGTGCTGAAAACCGAAGAAATATTCATCCATGCGCAGTGTGTCTTAGGCGAGTGAGCATGTCAAAGCGAATCGGTATTTAGATCAAGCATCTGCCGATGTTCTCCAAACTGAAGACTCGACTTGTTCACGGTTCGTTGATTTCATCGAAGTTCTTTCCATCCTGGTCGTTGACTTTGGTCGAGGAAGCTCTCCACTCACACCGATTACTATGCAAATATTTCTAGAAAAGGCATAACGAATCTAAGATACAGCGGTAAAGTAACTGATACCAGGTTAGGTCTTATAGCAATGCTTATTCTTTGGATTTTTTCCAGAATCACCAGATAAATAGCAGAATCACCAGAGTAGATGTGGCAAAAATATTAATTGCACTGGACGAACAGTAGACTTATATAGTTTATAAAGACATATTATGGAACCTCACATCTCATCTGGTCATTTGGTGGCCACATTCTTCGACCTTCTTAAGGCACATAGTCATTTGGCGGCCACATTCTTTAAACTTCTTAAGGCACGTGGTCATTTGGCAGCCATATTCATCGTCCTTCTTAAGGCACGTGGTCATTTGGCAGCCATATATATCGTCCTTCTTAAGGCACATGGTCATTTGGCAGCCATATTTATCGTCCTTCTTAAGGCACGTGGTCATTTGGCGGCGATATTTTTCGGCCTTCTCAAGGTACATGTTCATTTGGTGGTTATATTCCTCGTCTTCTTAAGGAACATGGTTATTTGGCAGCCATATTCTTCGACCTTCTCAAGACATATGTTCATCTGGCGACCATATTCTTCGGCTTTCTTATGGCGCATGGTCATTTCGCAGCCACATTCTTTGACCTTCCTAAGGCACATGGTCATTTGCCGGCCATATTCTTCGACCTTCTTAAGACACATGTTTATTTGGTGGCGATATTCTTCGACCTTCTTAGAGCGCATGGTCACTTAGCAGCCGTATTCTTCGGCCTTCTTAAGGTTCATGGTCAATGTTGAGATTCGTTCAGTATTTTTTGACTGTTTCTTACAGGTTGAGATAATATTTCATATTGCAACACCCATGACTGCAACTCGCTAACTTGACGGGCTCTCGAGCCTTATATTGGGTGTAATTTAATAAAAGAATAAGTTCTCATTTATCTGCATTATTTACATACTATTTACTACAGTTAATTTAGCACAAGGACATAATTAAGGGACTCTCAGTGAGAACCGAACTCTCCATTCAATCGTTACATTTAACCCGATTAGATCGTTAACCATTCACCAACACCGAATTGTTCTAGGCATACGGTTGTTATGTATGAAGGCGAAAAATATAAGGCACTCAGTGAGAATCAAACTCATAACTTATTAGTAATGGTTAACCAGATGATCTCGTTAACCATTACCCCATTCCGAGTCACCCTCGTTATTTACTAAGCGTAACATTGTTTTGCTTGAACAGTACAAATGGGCACCCAATGAGGGTTAAACTCAAAACTCATTAGTTGTGGTCAACCAGTCAAGGTTACTAACCATAACCATATGCTGAGGTACCACTTAAAATTGATGTAGTTCATACGGTAGAGCAATAGGGATTTGGAACAACTCATCTCGCGTCCCGTTTCTCGCTAAACAAAGTAATCTTGACTTAAAACTCTATACCTTTGGCCCTTTTCCAGGGGAAGTTGAGCAAATATTCTAACTAAAGGACAATAAATTTAGGAACTAGCTTTTACATCTCCCGCACCCCTCTACATCCACCGACCTTGTTCTCTATTGGCCCCGTGTGAAACCGAATTCAATAGGCGTCTACTAGATAATTGGCGACATTTTTCTCATTCTCCGCGATTTTTTCCAACCAAAAAGACCATAAAAGCCGAAAAAGAAGTCTTAAACAGACAGTGATGTCTCCACGGAAGCAGCATAAACGATAATAAACTCAAGTTGCACAAAGGGTAAAGACACACTAAAAGAAAATGGAACGAATGGCGAATTATATTGTTAAATACGTAAATGTCCGTCAAGACGACGGCATTCAGAAGTAAGAGAAAGGGCAAAATGGTCCTTATTGAATACTGACGAACCACGGAATTGGACTAAGGATGTATTGAATAATGTCTGAAAATAAGAGAGTGAAAAGGCTAGGGGAAGTTAGGTGTTTCAAAAGAAATGTCGGTTGTACGATTTTTTTTTACTTACAAATCTTTCAGGAGGAAAGAAAGATGTTCATTGGCGACGGAAGAGAGAAAATAGGAGGAGGAATGATGCTTGATTGATGAATGAGAAATGTTTAAGCTAAAAAAAAAGAAAACAGATAATTTTTGGGAAGAAAAAAGCTTGCTGAATTTTATATAGAGAAAGAAAGTAATTAAAAAAATGGCGAGCTAGAAAAAGAAAAAGAAACGATGACCCTAAGAATGGAAAAAGAAGAACGAAAAGATAAAGATGGAAATAAGAAATAAACGGAAATCTTTGTAAGGTTAAAGCTAATTTTAACGTCAAGAAGAAAAGGAATTACCTATTGTAAGGAATAGAAATGCAAAGAAAGCGAAAGAAAAGAGAGAAAAAGAGAGAGAGAGAGAGAGAGAAAGGAAAGTGGTGAAAATTAAGAAGGAAGAAAGTTGCATATTCTAAGAAGGAAAGAAACAAAAATATAAAGAAGGAAAGAAAGAAAAATTAACAGAAAGGAAAGTGAAAGAAAGAAAGAAAAAAGAAAGAAAAAGAATAAAGAAACATCAAGAAAAGAGAAAATTGAAAGAAAAAAGTAACAAACAAACAAAAAATGAAAGAAAGCAAAATAGAAAGAAAAAACGATGACAGTAGAGAAATAATGGAAATAGATGAAAATGGAAAGAAAAGAAAAAGAAAGAAGGAATGTGAGAGAGAAAAGACTGAAATAGAGAACATTGAGAAGCCAGGAACTTATATAAGAAAGAAAGAAACAAAGAAAGAAACAAAGAAAGAAACAAAGAAAAAGAGAAAAAATAAAAGGGAAATAAAGAAAACATGAAAAAGAGAAAGCGAATTAAAGAAAAAAGAAAGCAAAACAGAAAAAAAAACGATATAAAGAAAGTGAAAAAAAAGGAAAATTAAATAAATTAATTAAATATTGCAATATAAGAAGGAATGAATTTCTTATCGAAAATATTTCACACATTCTGTACAAATTGCTATTACTACATTTATGTTCCTTCCTGATAATGGCTCTTCGCAACTTCATGTCCTTTGTAATTCTAAGCAAAGTCATCCTTTACCATTTCTCCCCAGATCATATCGAAATAATTATTCGAAAAGAATTATTCGGAAAAGATTTATTCGAATTGTAAATTGTTTGAATGAAAATTAACCGAAAGAACAATTATACTAAATGATAATTGTTCAAAATACCTATGTTTGAAATACGTATGTTGTCTTGCTTTGAGAGAGTCGGTGCTGATTTACCTAAAACTAATAACGCACTCGAAGGATGTCATATGATTTTTTGTAGTACGTATCATCCTATCGTTCCACAATAAGGAAATTCTTAGACGTTTTTAAAAGAGAACAGGACTTGCAAGAAATTCATATTCAAGTAAGAGCAGGTTGCCAAAATATACATGAGCAGATCAAATAGAGTGCGCAGTTCAGAATTCCCTGTCGGCTACCCAGATCGTAGAGAATGGAATTTGTTAGAGGCACGGAATATGAAATAGGTTATCCGGGTTGAATTCAAATCGAGTTCGTTGCATTTACTTTTGCTCAAATACCATTGTAAAAAAAATATAGATCTATATCTTGTCTCTCCACACTATGGTTTAAATAACAGAGCATACTGGCTCCTCTAAGCAACCCGTCTAGAAGAAATACCATTCTGAATTCAAAACCTGGTGTAGCACACTATACAGCCATTGAAAAGGTCAGCGATTTCACGATGGCTGTTTAATATCAACTACGGTCAACCTACGATCGCCTAGATATATTATTTTCAACCATAGCTACAGAGCACCCAGTGAGGATAGAACTCACGACTCAGTCGTGAGAGTGAACCAAACCAGCTCGTTTACCATTCATTAAAGCCGAGGCGCCATCTGGTAACACTTAATTTTAGCTTACTGCTTATTTTTAATGGATATATAAAGGAAAAAAAGCATGAATCCGTTTTATTTCTCATTGTTAGATATCTTGAGAATTGTTTCATTACTGGCCTGCCATATGAGGGGTAGAGAATTGTGCAACTGAGACATCCTTGAGATAAGAAACAATATTTAATTAACTTACCTTCCCAGACATTAACTGTTTCATCCATAGTCAACCTTGACAAGTGTCCACTTGCGACAATCCGATATTGAACAGGGGAAATTAGATTGGTAAGAAATAAAATAACATAGACTAAATAAATAAAAAATCGGATTGGGTCAGTACGAAGCCGCACTTACAGACACGGATCAACTAGAAGCTGCAAATGGAAAAAAAAGAAGTAAAAATATCCTCCCCCATACACACACAGGCTTAAAAAGTGCGTACCCAGTTCGTGATATACTGACTGTGAGCTTTTGTTTTCTTTAATTCTTGGTCTTGATTTATGATTTGGCCACCTGATGTCGCCTGTTGTTCAATGCGAAGAAAAGAGTCATCTCACGTTTCTACTGATTTTCCTCACGTGTGACTCTGCCATTTTTATCACCCCCGCCGACCAACATGTATCCAACACCTAAGGATATTTTTTTAATAATGTTCACTCTATACGAGGTCCAAGAGCCACTCAAGTTAGTGGGTTACGAAAGGATCTTGTTATATGAGCCGAAAAACTTAAGCGGAAAGAAGCAGTTTATGAGGATATGTAGGGAAGATAAAGATTAGAATAGTGGTTCCCATGCCGAACTTTAGTATTTCTAAAATTCTGGTGCCCCCTCTGTAATATTTAATTCTTACATATTCAAAATTTTACTGCAATTCACATGAAGGAAGCTTAAAAGGCCATTAACTTGGTCTCTAAACAAGCCCACAAAGACCATGGCGTCCATGAAAAATTAAAAAAAAAAAACATACCGAAAGGCAGTTATATATATATAGTTTCAAAACATGTAATAGAGAAATGAAAGGTAGAAATATAAAATATTTGAATGAAATGTTATTCTGTAATATACTTTGAATATTTTAATCCTGAAATAATAATGCAAAATGAAATTTGAGATCACTTTGGTATAATAAGCCGAAGAGTGCACATCCTACATATGCTCCACCAAAATATTATCATCCCCCATCGGTGGGGCATGTGCCCCCACCGGTGGGTTAGACTTAGACTTGAAAAAGTTAATTGATTAAACAGAAACAAAGTCTGCTTGCTTAATTTTTATAGTATTTTTCGAATTTTCGAATATGCTGTTGACTATTGTGTTTGAAGTTGTGGATAAAATGTCCGAAGTTCACAGTGTGTTATTATTGTTCAAGTACTTTCGACAGTCTCAGTCATTTACAAGAACCAATGTGTATATTAATTGTAATTTTACATACAATTTTGGCACAAGTCTTAAAGGGATGTGCGGTGAGGTTTCTCAGCAAAATCCGGAACCTCGCTAACCTAATTCGCGACCGATTCATTCATTAAACTTTACTCATTTACTACAAGAACACATCCCTTCTCATCCAATAAAACATTCATCAAAATATCACATATTCACAGGTGAAAATGAGTTGTAAAAAAATTATGGATATTGAAATTTATTTTAAAATTATTCCTTTTCACATTTCTTTTATATATACGGAGAAAAATAATTTATGGTATTTTTACTTTTGTGATGTTCGATTTTCATTGGTCGATCATCTTACATGTGCCTTTGACTCTTTTTAACCAATATTAGTATAATTTGTGGCGTTCCGAATTCAATGAGAGATGATGCTTCCATCATGAAATTAACGGATTCCAACCCTACCCCACAAAAAACTGTAAATATTGCTATATATATGAAAGTGTATAAAAATTCGATTTTTTCTATGTAGCCATAATGCATATACATAATTGTGTGAGTGTG